GGGACAGCGCCATGGCGCTGTTTCGATGTCTATATAAGTGCAGTTTCAGGTTTTAGGTTTTTAGCCGAAAAAAGGGTTTCGTCCAGCCGATTTTGAGCCATTTTTCAGAGGGTTTCGTGGCAATTTCAAGGCGAAGGCTCGGGCATTGGCAGAGGCATTGAGGCTCATCAAGATCAACACATTCGGGGTAATTAGATCTTGATTATTGTGAGTTTTTAATTCCTGTTCCTAAGTATTAATTGTGCAAAATACTTAGAAGCTAAGAGACTTTTGTTGAGACCTCTAGGGGATATTTTTGGGAGTGTTATTGTATCCAATCCTAAACAATATTAGTGAATTACCCACATTTAAGTGGAAGACTGGACATAACCCTTAGTGGCGAACCAGTATAATTTCTGTGTCATATTATTGTTTTTTACCGTTTTCTTCCTATTTACATATTTGTGGTTGTGTTGGATATTTTCTATGGAAGGAAAAATTATTCAGATGAATCAATTTTCCAACTGAACTTTGTTTGTACTAGTTGGAAACCCAACATTAGAAATGTGAAATGGCTTGATGAGTTCATAAAAAACAAAAGAAGAAAAAAGTTCATACATGTGACTTCACAAGCGGATAATGGCTTGATGATTCCCATATTTGGTCGTACACAATACTTCTTAACGTTTGTTGTCTTAACCTGAAAAACAAAAACTCTTATCTGATATCTTTTATACCACATAATATATCATAAATCATGTTAATAATTCTTTATTTAAATGAAAAAAAAATTACCTTAAAAGCAACATGGTCGAATATATTATTTGTCAGTTGAATTGAGCAGGAGCTCTGTTTCTTTAGTTCAACTGCAGGCAATTGTAGGACAATATGAACAAATTAATTTGTTATGAATAGAGTTTAATTTATTTTTCTTGTTTTTCATTTCCACTCTTGTCGAAAGAAATAAGTGTTGCTGTGGAAATCTGGTCGGGCGGGTTGAGTTGGCGAGATCTTGAATTACTTTAACACTTTTTTGTAATCGAGATTACCCTCCTTCTAGAGCCAAAAGACTTGGGCATTGGAAGGTCATGTTAGGGTAAGCACCACAACAGTGTTGAATCGAGTTGATTGCAGGTAATTCTAATTGTGAGAAGTTTTCAAGTCACTCATGATCTCGCTAACTCAGCTCGACCAGATTTTGACATGAACAACAAGCATTTCAGTAACTATTTCGTTTCTATTTTCTTATACATTTTCAAATTTGTGTAAAAATATTGTAAACAACAAAATCAAGTTCCTTTTTCTGGTTCCTATTTTCATTTTTCTTCCAAAATATAAATAAATAATTATTTTATAATTAATCATTTATAAAATGCATATTATATTAGATTTTAAATATACATTAAAAAAGTTACAATATTTAATTTAAACATTAAATATTATATAAAAATCTTATTAAAAAATGAGAACGAGAAACAAAAAATAGTTACCAGAAAGAAACAAGAAACAACTACCAAACATGCAATTTTATTTAGAGGAGATAAATATTACCAAACGGACCCTCAAGTGTCCGAAGTAATATTTTTCATAGAGTCTAGGCTTCGTACGAAAAGGTTGCAATTTTATTTTCTTTACATCAGTACTATTTTTTTCTTTTCAAATGAGCTTCTATTTCAAGTTATAGCTCTAATAACGATAGTATTTCTAATTTTGAAAAGAAATTGAAAGCGAGATGAAATAGAGAAAAATATGGTGCCTCGTTCATATTATGAAAACAAGGTTAATTACTGTAGCCCAGTAGAAAAAACAAGTTCATTTAAAAAAAAAAAAGACATTTATTAAGTAGCTTTTAATTGGTCAAAGAAAGACCAAACATCATGGAANTGAACTCAGGAAACTCAAGAGAAGAGATGGAAACATTTCTCCAGTAGGAAAAAAAAATTAAAAAATATTAACATAATAAAAAAATATGTTTATAGAAAGAGGTCATTTATAGGATTTTTTTTTTCTGGTTTTATATGCTTCCAAAGTTTGTGAATAATTTAAAAAATTATTTCAACAACAAAAACAAAGCTCTCCCTTATCTTCTAAGCATTTTTTAATCACGATTTTATTAAGAAAAATGAAAGAAAAAAACAAGGCCAATGATGGCCAAACAAAAATCTATCTATAGATACAAAAGAAAATCAACCAAAATATAGATTTCCAACGGGTAATGATAAAAAAATTTATTAACAAGTACTTTGAGAGATATGGAATGTAATCTAAGTGGTCAAAATTTTGAGAGTAAGAAATATCCAACTGAAAAAAATTATTGCCTCTTCTTATCTTCTAACTGTGTATTTTTAAAAAGAAAACCACGTTTTTTACTTTTTAAAATGAAAAAAATTACAAATTATGAAAAAAAAGGTCCACTGCTAAAGATGTCAAACAAAAATCTATCTATAGATAGAACAGAAAATCAACGAGAATAAAGTCTAAATCTTTGATAAGAAATAAAAAAGCATAAGAAATTACATCCAATCAAGAAAAGAGAAAAAAAAAAAGAAAAGAAAAATACATATCTGATTGATCGTGTTCGTGTAGAGACTTACAAATAAACTTCAATTCGTTGGGATGAACTTGAAGAAGTTTCATATCCATATGCTTTGGAAAACAGGAAAGATGAAAACAAAGACTTGGGGACAACGAAGCATTATATATATATATATAGCTAATTTGACTTGTTCCAACTTCCAACCCATTAATTACAAGAAGACTTCTGCAAGAAACAATTATTAAAACTTATTAATTGTTATCAGAATAAATTAATTATTATTAAATTACAAATTTAGTATTTGGGGAGTTTTAGAAAGTATCAAATAAGTTTTTAAATTATTAATATTATTGTGACTAATAATTCTCTCAACCAAGAAAATGTCTTAATTGTTTTGATCAGGTCATAAACTTTAAACATTAAATCTTTAGATTAAAATTTCAATTTTGTATCTAATAACAGCTTAACTTCAAAAAGTGTCTCATAAATTAGGGATTTAGACACAAATGTGCAATTTCTAGGACTTACTAAATACATAATTAAAAGTCTAAAAATTTATTAGACGCTTTTTAACATTAAGGAATTTATTAGACCCAACATTAAAAATATTTTAGAGATTTTGTTGACACATTTTAAAGTTCAACAATCTATTAGACACTCCATCCTAAAAAGTCTAAATAGCAAATTTTAATGTAACCAAATCTATGGTTCTGTGACCGAAACAATTTAAAACCATTAAAGAATAAATAATTGGCGACGGATGGAGCGGTGGAGGGCATTGGTGAGGCGGTTGTAGTGAGTCTCTGAGGAGTTGAACAACAGCGAATTGGGCGAATCTTGGTGGATCAGTTCAACGGAGAAGACATAATATGTGGTGGTGGAGATCAATACGAGGACGGGGAGAGAGATATAGTAGATAGAGAAAAACTGTCATGGAATAGAGGAAGAAGAAATAAGAGAGAGATTTATGGGGTTTTTATGAGTAATTGATTAAATAGTGGAAGAAATAAGAGAGGTATTTGTGAGGATTGTTATGAATAATTGATTAAGGAGGACAATTTTGTAATTACATTGACCGTTTTGTTTCCTTTTTAATTGCATTGCATGTGGTAATGATTCCGAGTAATTATATTATATATAATTGCAAAATTCATGGACCAAACGAGTATAACTGGTATACCTTGGTTGCCCCTCCTAACATGTTGTAACAAGAAAATGCAAAATTCGTGAAATATTTATCATGTTGGTCCTTTCAAATTTTACTCTAGGAATTTAATTCCAACTAGTAAGAAACACGTGCGATGCACGTGAAATTTCATAGTTTTTATTTCAATGTTTAAAAATATAAAAATTAATTAAATAGATAAAAATTATAATATAATTTTGCTTTTTTTTTAATCTTAAATGTTTACCTCACCAATTTTTTTCTTATTTTTCATGTTTATCTCCTAAAATCAAAGTCTCAATAATTCTCATCACCCATTGATTCAGTTAGTGTGACTAAAAGTATTATTCTTCAATAACTTAATTTTTTTTTCTAAAAAAAATCACATATTCATGGATTTTTCATCTTTTTTTCCCTAAACATAACAATACATAAAAGTAAATAAAACTTTG